CTTATCCTTAGTTAATACTTAGGGTTATTGAGGGCAACCCAAATGGGACTCTGCTAATAATGGAAAGCTTCCCAATATAGAAACTCTCAAAATAGCAAGTTTCCACAAATAGTTATGATGTTGGACACTATTCCAACAATCTCCCACTTGGACAATATCATTAACTATTGTTGGTAACTAGTTTCCCAGATTATCAGCAAAGCGTAAGCATCTTAGTGTACTGCCGAACTCTGAATCCAAATCAAGATCAACCCCAAAGATAAGTGATCAGCTATCCCTTTGTTCTTGATATCATATGTGCCTGTTACATGGATATCTAGAGAATCAACTCAAGGCATCATATTATGTTTCTCCGTATGCGATTTGTGATGACGATGTCATATGAACTACATAATCAATTTATATCAATCTAGTCCAGGCTGGCCAGCACTATGAGGTTCATCACACATAATCACAGAGGGGCCCACGATATCGCTTTTCCTTGATAAAGGTAAAAGGAACAAATAAACTTCGATTACACAACTTTCACCAAATCATCAAGTCATACGTGGACTTACCTTTTATAACATCYAGTTACGGATGTGTTTGGGTAAGCCAACGCACAACCGACTCATCGACTACGACTCACGTGTATCTCCGTTTGAAAGACAGAAGATATTATCATCTCAGAAATACTTGTGATTATATCCATGAAGTAAATCTGAGTGTGGGTTTATTCAATACCTTTACTCTTAAAAGGTACTCATGAACGTTAGCTACACTCTCTCAGTTTAATGTCTTTTATCTCTTAGACATTACTATCGTTCCATGACAGTCTTTTATCAATACTTACCCCCAGGAGTGCGATCGACTGTGAATTTTGAATAAATTAATACTCGGGAATAATGTTAAACATGCAAAACGTGAAGTACAATAATAACCAATCAATAATGGTAGATCACACAATTTCATTAATAATAACACACACTTTATTAATCACCAAAAACAATTACAAATTATTATTGTTCTAATGTTTCTTAATATCGACCTAACTACAAAAACTTATTCCCCTCCTCAAGCCAAATCTCTCTGCATGCTCGTCGTGCTTGGCTTTGCTCAAGATCTTTGTGAGCAAATCGGCTGGATTGTCTTTCGACGATACCCTTTTCACAACAATGTTTCCCTTCTCAACCTTATCACGTATGAAATGGTATTTTCTGTCAATGTGTCTAGATTTTCGGTGATCCTTAGGGTCTTTAGTCA